AAAATTCTTTTTGCCAAATATTATTCTTATTTTAAAGTTCAAGGTTTTCTTATACTTCTTAAATTATGCAACCCAATAAAACAGACTCCCCCTCCCCGGAATTTCTAAAACGACTGATACTGAAACACTTAAAAATTTCTTTTGAATGCTGAGAAAGCGTCTAACAAATAAACTTATCATTTTAAAATATCTGTAGCATTCCTTGCACTATGTCTTTTCCATCTGGATTTTGTATGCCTTAAATATACTTTATCATACTTGTTATTTCCATTCTTCTCTAAACTTAATAATACATTGTTTTATGAAGATTATTTTTATAATTGCATGCATTCTTAATTAGATGAGAAACACAATAATTTAAAATTTGAGCTTAGGAAAAAAAAAAAAAAAAAAAAAAAAGCAACTTAAATTTGTCGTAGCTTTTAAACAAAATTCTATCAGTATTATGAGTAATAATTATTATATCAGTATTATGAGTAATAATTATCAGTATTATGAGTATAATTCCACTTTAATTATCTAGAAAAAAGATTTTGCTGCTTTTCATTAGGTTTTTCAAGATCATGGTGTAAAAATATGAAGATTCCAAAATTTACTGCGCAATTCGATCAAACTATTCTTATCGTTTTTACCGACTTTTAATACTTAAACGTATTTATCGAGATGAAACTCAGAAATGCAACCTTGACGACGGGATTTGTTCATGTAAGCGCTTTAATTCAGTAATCTGACCGATTTTATGCCTCACAAAGAATTACAAAGAAAATTTTTCTTGTCGATGTGAGGTATATATTTTCATGAAGAAATGAAATAAAACCTGAAAAATCTTTAAAAAAAATTAAGCTATCTGAAACATAATAAATGAAATATTTACCTGAAAACCGAAAACATTAATATTTAAAATTTTTGTTTTAAAGAGAAAATTATGCATAGTTAAATTTGAAAAGCAATGGGAAAACAAACCAAATTAGTATAGTTTTTATGATAGAATAGGGAAAGCGACTACAGCAGAAAAGAATTTATTGTACTAGAAAACTGAATTCGTGATCTCTCAGTTTGTGTTAGGCTAAATTTGTGAATCTTCATATTCAGAATGTTTGCAAGTATTTTGCCAGTTTCCCTTAGAAAGTCCTCCACGAAGGCATCCCTCCCCTTAGGCAGATAGCCCTCGAGGCTTTGCCATAATCACACACACACACACACGCAAGTATTTTGATGTAAATATTAATATTACTCTGAATTCATTAAACTTAAAATCTCATTAGTTTTAATACGCAGTTTCTACACAAATTAGCATATTACCCTATAAATTAGCACGATATTACAAATATTTCTCTTCTTTTCTTAAATCAAAATAATAAACAAATAAATAAATAATCTGAAATGTTTCAGATTTTGCCTGTCATCCAAGAGGGTTTGTTAAAGTTTTTTACGCTCTCGCTGAGCTCGCAGAGTCTATCTAGTTCGCCGTTGCACTCGCTTCTGCTAACCCATTTGTTTTGTCCTTTTAGCTTCATTATTAAGCATCATTTTCTTTACACATTCGCTGTATATAATTCTACAGCAAAATCATAAAATTTTTATTTAATTTAAAGAAATTTAGTATTCCCGATGCAGTGTTAAGTGTTGGCATGCGTTTTTATATTTTTTTCACTCTTTTCTCAGTTTATCATATAAATGTTACGTTTGCTTAGTAAGTTTTATTATTAATGTTTTGTATGTTAACTTTATACATTAAATAACACGATCATCGCACTTGCGCCACATAAAATTTAATTCAACAGTAACGTCACTAGATATTCAAAAACAGCATAACTTTGAATTTCTGGAGATAAAAATGTTTTATTCCGTACAATGTTGCCAAAACTCGCTTTCAGATTTTTGAGTTTGTTAATCAAAAACACGTTAAAATTTTATAAAATATGAAATAGATAATAAAACCAATTCGAAATTCAAAATTCGAGCTTCCAGATGCCCATATTCGGGGAGACGACTACGTTATTCAAAACTTGACGCCTCGAGGTACTGTTGTTTTTTCACATTGAGAGAAAAACTCCTATATTCATGCAGATTCTTTATTATTCTTTCTTTAAAAATAATATAAGGTGACAATATTTTTGACAACAATTTGAAAAGTTATATGCCTTTTATAGTGTTGTAGTTTACAGCCGTTTATACTCACAAAATCCCATTTCGAGAATAACTTATTTGGGCTGACGCTTTTTTGGGGCATCCCTTTGGGGTTAATAATAATGATGATAACAATAATAATATTCACTATTTTCATGTCATGAAAATAAATCCGTTGAATTTATTCGATAAAATTAAATCTAAACGGGAAAAGATTTTTTTTTCTGCATTTTCTTTTTAAACGTAAAATGGTACAAACATAAAAATATGAGAATATTGAAAAAGGTGCATTACCGTTTGAGAAAATTTAAAAGCATAATTGTCTACGGAAGCCTGCATTTTCTGTATTACTGTGAAAGTTGATGACAATTATTAGATTTTGCTGTAGTTGTAAATGACAGTCTATATAAAATGTTGAAATTTTTCATTTGGTGAATTATAGGACTTAAAAGACGTTTTTGATTTATGATCATATAGTATAAAACAATATTTGTTTCACACTGGTGAAAATTGGCTACGTAAGTTAATTTTTAAATGTTTAACTTAAATACATTGAATAAAGCACATTTATAATATTGGAAGTTAAATTAAACATTTACTCGCCTTCGAATAGCAACAGCATCAATTTACCAATAAAAGAATTTTATTGCAAAGCGAGACAATAAATAAATACCTCGAAGAGGTTCTTCTTCGAGATGTTTAAAAATGGCGATCTTTATGTTTTTGTGCTGATTTTTTTCGGCGCCAGTCATAAGCGTAAATATGCTCCTCATTATAAAGTTTAATTTTCTCTGAAACTAAAAGCAAGAGCAATGGATCGAGAATATAAAAAAGTGAAATATCTGGGTTTTTTAAGTATATTTAATAATTTTTATATTTAACAATATTTTAATACTGGTAAACTGTTCTTTAAGGTGTTTTAGTCTATAACATACAGATTAAAGAATTCTTTTGACTTCAGTGTTTCGTACAAATAATAATCATACTTAGAGAGGCCCGGTGATCTGGATGGTCAATATGTGTGACATTTTCAGAGCATGAACTCTTGAGTTTAGGTAGGCAAGAGACGAATCAGACGCCAGAAGCACAGTAAGAGAATACATATTTATATACAGGAAAGCACAGAAAACAAACATATTACGAGAAAATATATAAAATTGGAAAAGGTAAAAGAACTGAAAGCAAGACGACACTTAGTACTGACTCCCAAATGAAGCTTAAACGGAAATATTCCAATCTTTCATTTCTAGCCTAGCCCAATCGACAATATCTTCTTTCTCCTTTATAACCTAATTTGCGTTTCTAGATTCACATTATAAATAAAGAATTTGTACTTATTAACAATAATTCCGTTACAACTGAGATCAGCAAACTTGTTGCTTACTTCCAAAGACATATTTCAATCTATATTTGCCATCATAAATTAGGATTTTTTGGGTCCTTTACATTGTTTTCAGTTCAATATATTCCATCATTTTCTCTAAGATTTTTTAAGGGGTTCATATCATAAATAATACAGTATAATGCAACAAACTAATACAAAAAAAAAGTAGAAGAAGAAATTTTTGCTAGGATTTGGTCATTGAGAAAAGATAAAAGGAAAAGACGGGCTAACAAGAATCACGTAATTGTTTTGATATAAAAATGAAAAGTCAAGAATTATAAACTCACTCCTCTTTACGTTTGTATGACTGGTTGGGAATGACGGTAAGGTAGTATACTATTCCTGGTTCGTCTGAATTGGGTATAAAATCGTCAGGAATGAATTAGGAACAGACTCAGTCGTAATGTTAGACAAGAAACTGCCTAGTAATAGCCCACAGAAAAAATAATACCACTAGAACCAAGTAAAAACGTCACCTAAAATTGTAAATATCAAAGAACGATGTAAATAAAATGGTAAACTAAAGAAAGGGATGAAAATCTATCAAGGAGCATATGTTAATGAAAATTTACTGAATTGTTCTTATTTCTTAAATATCATGCTATAGAAATCAGATCGTAAAACTGGCGGTTTATTAATAAAAAAAATTAAAAAAGAGCGGGGGAAGGGGAACTGAATCTTGTTTTTGTTCTGTAATAGTTTCGATATTGACTGTTTCTGTGAAAATTTAACCTTTATTGTTGAACTCAGAGATATGTGCAAATCTTATAATGCTCAGAGTGTGGCTTTAAATCATGAACCATTTTTTGGCATTCTTTTTATTTGACGATAAAAACATTTTCTTCTATTCAAAAACTTTATTAATGTGTTTCTCAAATGATAAAATTATCAGTTAATCGTAAGAGCAGTTCCAACAGTGCGATAATGTTATTTTCGTCCACAGTAAAGACAATGCCAACAATACGAAAAGTATCTTTGGTATCTAATTTGGGTGATCTTAATACTTTGGAAACTTTGGCGTATAAATTCTGATCTCAAAAGCAGTTTGGAAAAAAAGGCCTCTGCAGTTTTACTGCATCAAATAGGTAATTCTGAACACTTATATTTATTTGAAGCAGATCAAAGAAAGGTCATAAAATTAGAGATGAAACTATGTTAGATAGTAATTTCTTTAGATAGTTAGGAGTGAAACTTTATATATCGTTTACAATATAATATTTATAGCTCAAAGAACTAGTTTCAAATGTAAAACGTAAATACAACTGAATCTTTCTAATTATTTTTCTTTTGTATTATGCCTTTTTTTAAGTATGAATCTATTTAGATAAAGGTTTGTCAATCATTTTCTCATTAACATTAAATTATCGAAATTTATTTAAACTACTGAGCTCATTCGAAAATTTACAGTTTGATTTCAATTAAATAATGTATACTTTTTTGTTTTTAAATTTCATTGCAGCTACATAATGTAAATATTCTGTTGCAGTTTCAGCAGTCAAACTATGCGAACCATCCAATTATATATGTGCAGGACGTTGTCCACCTGTTCCACGAGGCCTTCAGCTTCAGTCACAAGCCATATGCTTGAAAGATACTCAAGGAGCATGTGTTTGTTTCTTACGTAATCCTTCTAGTCACATAGATAGTTTTTTTCAGTGTGAAGTTGAAAAAAATGGTAAGTCACAGAATGAAACATTTTCACCCTGTATTATCATTTCAATGAACGCGTTTTACTTGAACTAAGTTATTATTAATTTTGAATAGAAAATTTGTTTTGTTTCAGGTTTATCAGCATAACTTTTTACATCCACTTCCTCTTCTTTTCTACAATATGTTCGATTAAACGAAGATTGTACTGAAAATGTACCTAAAATTTAAAAATAAAAAAATCATGAAAAGTTAAGCAAAATTTAAAACTTATTCAGTACAAAATATGCAAACTCTACTTTTAATATTGACATGAGCTGTTTTTGTTCGATCCTAATCCGTGCTGTTTACTATCCACCTAAAATAATTTCAAGCGCTTATTGCTGGTGGCAAGGTTTAAAATTGTTCTCGATTTTCAATAATAAAAGAACTTCACTCTGTTCAAAAGATTAAAACGGCTAATTTGTTCTGAAATAATGTTACGAGAATAATACACTGTCCTCCAAAAGTTAAGGAATAGCATGTTTTTTGTTGAGAATGAAGCAACATAGAAACAAGAAATTTACTGGACATGTTTACTAAACAGTTCTTTAATGAATGCGACATAGAATGCTTCTAAATTTCAATACAAACTACAAAAACTGCACTCTTTGCAGAGAAATCCAGTCATGAAGAAACAGTATATCACAGTTTTTTGAGGAAAATGGGGTGGTAACATTATAAAAATGGGTTCTAGTAAGGAAAGTGTCAATCTCTAGCTGCAATACATTGGCGGCATCCACGTTCCATGCTGTTAATTAAGTTGTCGGTCATTGAAATGGGAAGCAACGACCAAACACGGAGTAAACCTTTTCCAAGCTCATATAACGTCATTGGAGGAGGTCCTAAAGCAGCAACTTGTCTTCCAAGGTAGTCCCAAAGATGCTGTATCGGATTCAGGTTTGGGTATTGAGCTGGGAATTCCATCCGCTCCATACCGTCATTCTCAAGATATTCTTCAGCAACCCGAGCTCGGTGCGATCGATCGCGCATTGTCGTCCATCAGACGAAATCCAGGACCAATAGTAGCGGCATATGGGCGTGCATATTGATCAAGGATCTCGTTTCGATATCTCACACCGGCCAAAGTTCCTTCATGGAACACATCAGGTCAGTGTGACCACCGAGAGAGATCCCAGCCCAAACTATCTTTGTAACTGTGTCTTTCCACAATGTGGGATTGGTTGTATCTGGTGCGTTGTTCCCCCCCAGATCAGCTGACGACCTGAATCACTCTTCAATGTGAACCTGGATTAGTCTGTGAAGAGAACAGACTCATTTTTGACTGCCACAGAGAAAATGTTCTCTTGCAAAACATAAAAGGGCACCTCTGTGTCCTCGGGTCAAGGGGACACAACTGGTCGTCTTGAATACAGACTTGTATTGTGCAGGCGTTTGCGCACTGTAGTAGCTGAGGTTCTTGTTCCTGTTGCCACTAAATGATCTGCCATGAGCTGAGGCACAGTAATGTTACTCCTCCTTTGGGCCGAAAGAGCTAAATAACGGTCTTCCACAGGTGTTGTAACTGCCTGGAAAATTTCTTCTAGACACAGAAACCTCAGAAGCAAACTGGTTCCATGGTCAGTGGACCACACTACGTGAGACATTGAGATGTCTAGTAGCATCAGCTTGTAACATTCCTCCTTTAAAACCATCCGATCGCTCGCCACTCCAACGAATTGGGCAAACGACTTCTCCTGAACATTGATAGACTCTTTTGGATATTGTCTACAAAACTGTAACAACTGAAGATCAAGACTCGTGAACAAAAATTACAATTTTTGCATTTTTTCTGCAACTCCTCATTTCCATAAAATAAAACTGATAGCTATTGTTTTTGAGTATATTTTCAAATCTGCAAAGTACTCATTTCCATAAAATAAAAGTGGTAGCTATTGTTTTTGCGTATATTTTTTAAACTTCGTTACCAACCTGCATATAAACTGTGAAATAAATAATACCGAAATTTTTATAATTAAACGTGACTGACCTTTAATTTGAAAACCATGACTGTTCCTTAACTTTTGGAAGGCAATGTAATATGAAAAGTTCGATTATTGGTGCTTTGCCTTAGATAATATTTTTGTTCATAAATATTTCATACTAAATCTAATTGTGCGCATAACTGTTGCGAAATAAATCATGGAATTTGTTTTTGCTCAAAATACATAAGAATATCCTTTATATATCACTCCCAGTTGAATTATTGTGTGTCTCTTTTTGTGCTTAATCCATATACTCTTAACTAAGAACAATACATAAAAGTAATTCCCTCCTTCAGAACACGTTTATGAAATTCAAGAAAGCTTACATTTTAGAGCCTTTAAAAAAAACCTGTCTCTTGCAAAATAATTCATTTGATTTTGTTATTTATTATAGCCTATCGCACCAGCGACAAAACAGAAAATAGCTGAACGGAATTTCTTAAATAATCTTCGATGAGATTTTAACTTCAGAACTAAACTAAAACTTCGTGTATTTATTTGTAAAAGGTTCTTAGCATTAGTTTTGATTCCATTAATTTTGGGCTTTTAAGCGTACGAAGGTAAAGAAATGGAATTGAGATCTATGATATCACTTCATTTCTGCGAAAGGATTATGTACAGATGCCAATTGTAATCGTTTAAATGGTATCTCAGGAAACACTCACTAGCATAGGATTTAAATGGCTGGATTGATTGGCGTTTAACTGGTATCAATTATTTTCGCTTGATAAATATATTTAAATTCATAACTATGCAATATGATTTTTAAAAAATATATTGTGCCCCTAAAAATAGCACCTGATTTCTGATGCTTGATCTCAATAAAACTAACACTATTTTCTGTTTTCTTTTGAAGGATACAGAACACAAATCTTATGTCAAGCTCCTGAGCACTGTTTCCTGCCAGGACCCGAACCCGGTTGCTTGATAATTCCGAACTGCTCATGCTCTCTTTACAGCCAACGAGCTCCAGACCTGAAATTTGAACATTGGAGTGTGTTAAAGGAGGCAATTGTACATACGGCAATAAGATCCAAAGAGAAAGATAGCGAAGGAAATCATAAAGGTAAAGCAAAAATGTTCATTAAAAAAATCTGAAAAGTTTCAGATTTTAAAACGTCCAAAGGGGCGTTTTTTTAACGTTTTATGTGTTACCTTCATTTATTAAATATCATGTTCTTTTGCACTTAAACTATAAAATTTCAGTTCAATAGCAATGTCGCAAAATAATTTTAAAATGAGCATATCTTTGGAATTTCCGATACACAGTTCCGCGCGCTGGAGATAAAAAGGTCTTTTTTTTTTCCTTCCCCGTACAGTGTTGCAATTGCTCGCTTTAAAATCCTTGAGTTTGTTAATCAAAAATTCGTTAAAGTTTTACAAAATATGAAATCGATAATAAAACAAATTCCAAATTAAAAATTTTGTCTTCCACATGCCCATAATTTTATGAGGATTACTTCATTCAAAATTCGATGGCTCTATGTACCCTTGTTTTATCACAATGCGAGAAATAGACATACACTTATGCAGATTTTTCATTATTTAATTTCTTCAAATATAATGCAGGACTCTAACATTTGCTGACAACAGTTTGAAAAGTGAAACGGACATTTATAGTGATTCGACGCAAACTCGCAAAACGAAAACAATAGTCCTTCAGGGACAACGCCCCTTTGGACTAAAAATGTTATTTTAAGAGGAGAGATTTTTTTCATTTGATTTACAATAAGAACATTTTATAATTTCCGAGAGCCTATTTAATAATGGCAGTTTTATGCAGAATTATTTATTTTCAAGTTCTACGTCATAAAACGCGTATTTCAATTACTACTTGACAAAAATAATTTTTAAAATTGTTTGTTTTGAAAAATATATAAAATACTAGCCGCTATGCGGCCAGCCTTCGTCTGGCTTTTAAACGTATCGAAAAAAATGCCTAAAAGACACATCTGGAACCGATGGCCGCGTAAATTCTTCCAACTTTTTCTCTTTATTAAGATTCTAACCCTCCCTTGCATACGGCCATGATGTATCGACGGCCCTGACGTACTGTATAAAAATGTATTACATATATAAAAAAACTTACGATGAACTAAGCAGTATCCCTTAATACAAATATTAATTATCCTAATAAATAAATTAACCTACTTTTCTTTGCGAAATCTTAAGAACTCAAATGGTATAAAGGAGGTTAAGAACTGTTTCCTATAAAAGAAATCACTCAAAACTTTTCAATGTCTTAAAAACAGGAAATAGCCAATAACATAACATAAAAGAACAAAAAACAAAAAATTCTGAAAACAAAGTATAATTATGATTTTTCTTTATTTTCAAGAGAAAAAAATACAATGAAATAAGCTATAATCCCTTAATACAAATATTAATTTATCCTAATAAAAAATTAACCAACTTTCCATTGAAGAAAAAGATCTGCAAAACCTTCAATCTTACAAACAGTGAAATAAGCTGAAAATAACAGTGACATAAGAAATACGATGAAAACTGTTGCCAAACACATATTTCTAAAAGAATGAAACTATTCAAAATGATGCGATTTCATCAAAAATCTATCAACAACAATAAGAAAGGAAAATTGTTGCCAAAATCACATTTTTAAAGATGTGAGAAGTGTACTCGGAAGCTTTATTTAAAATTTTTTTGAAAAATACAAAATATTATCATTTTCCAAATCTTTTTGTAAAAGCAGTCGCAAGGATGAAAGTGTAACGTGTCCAAAAATGAAAGAAAAATAAACTGTACATTTTAAAAATAAACTTTTTTAGAAAATTCCCGTTCAAAAGGTGTTAAGCTCACTTTGTTAAATAAATTCGATTAATCGATTTATGAAACACGAAATTTATTTTAGTTCGTAAAAATAGTCTAGTGTCTACGTTTCATGACGATGTGAAAATGGAGTGTGTAGAGTAAAATCTCGCTTTCCATATGTCTCAAAATGACGCGATTTCGTCACCAAAAAATAAATTAAAAAAAAAATTCTATTTCTAATTTCGAAAAAATCGCTTCGAGGTGCACTGGCTCTTGTCTAGATGCACCTATGTACCAAATTTCGTAGCCGTGGGTCTATTAGCTTACGCGCAAGCGCGAACGGAAGACACACACAAAGACAGACTTTTTCTTTTATTATATGTAGAGATTACTGTTAATAGCAAATAGACTTTTTGTTGGACATTTCGGATTTGTTTTAAATTTCTTTATATGAAACTTTCGATGGAGATTAAAAATAAAATTACACAGTGATTGCTGAAGGATACGTTAAAAATTCAATTCATTAATGTTCATCATAATTCGTAAGTGAAAGGGCTATATAAAAATTTTCTCTCACAATACAAGAGCTATCTCTTATGTCTAATTGGTTTGTTATAGAATTTACATATAAAAATATTAACAAAATTTCCAACTTAACTGATTACTTAGAAATACAATTTTGTTGCGAGCGTACGGGTTCGTAATAAATTAAATGCACAAGTCGATAAAAAGTTAATAAAATTTATTCTTATCTCAAGCAATAAAACAAATGCTGAAATTTTCTCGGAGATATTCGTACAACATCGCAATATCTCACAGCAATTATATTTTAAACTACTAAAACGTTCAATAGAACTCAATTAAAAAAAAACACAGAGAAAGCTAATCCAATCTCACCGCGAATTCGCTACAATCAACGACAAGAACTAAGTAAACAACTGAATTGAGATGTTTTCCTCTCGCTTTTATAATCTTTTTAATCTACTATTTCCTGGATAGCAAAAGAGTACAATTACGAGATATCTATTTATTAAAATGTTAAATGCGTATGCTCCTGTATTTTAGTTTTTCCGACGTAGCTTTCTCTTCGAACAAGTCTTGTGCTGCGCTGCACGGGAATATAAAGCAATTTTAATTACGAATTCTACTAAAAATAGCTAAATAAATACAAAAAACCATAACAATATAATTCATCATCTTAGAGATTCTAATGAAAAAACTTAATACCAATGTTAATAACGTATAGGGATTTTTTTTACTTCTTCGAACGTATTACAAAAAAAAAAAAAAAAAAACTGCCATTTACATGTGAAGCATGTCTGCAACAGTAGTAACCTAAGTACTGTGAAAGATAGAAGTTTATTTATTTTCTTCTGAAAATTTTAGTTTGTTTATTGATTAAAAATCTCTGTAGTTTTAGAAAAAGAAAAATCATTTTGTTTTTCTTAGGAGTAAGGTGATGTGATGAAGAATTAAGCTTCGTTGTAAGATGAAACTAAATGTTCCAGGTTTAAAACTTTACTGTGAAGCGCATTTTACTTTTAAAACCTTAAAAAAACTTCAAATTTGTACTTTTATTTATTCATTTAAAAACTTATTCTGGATTTCAGGGAAAAGCAAAATTCGATTAATTTCCCAGATAGCCAGTGATAATCTTTTTAGATCCATTTTTTTTTTTGAAGATGACAAGAATGACTCAAGAATTTAGCTTGGGCTCAAAAACTCATCATATCTCTTTGGGTTCGAGATTATACGTAAAGAAAAATTTCTCTTACATTCTGCTTTCATTCAGTTCTCCTTTCAATATTTTTGTAAAAAGTGGTTGTACATTCCCCAATTACAATTCCCCAATATTGCTGAAAAGAATTCAAGGAAATTCTTACGGCCATATCACCATATCATGATTCATAATACCTTTAATGGCGGATAAGATTTAGCTTTCGCAGTTTCTGAGAAATCTGCATCTGATCTTATCTCACATATACACGACTAAATTAAAGTGTCCAGATTTGTGCATGTACTCGAAATTCCAAATAAATAAAAAGAACAAAAGGTATAAAAAAATCCAAAAGCTTTCAGATTTTAACATACATTAACAAAATTACCTTTATTTATTAAATATCATGTTCTTCGCACTTAAATCACATAAAATTCCACAGCAATATCAGAAAATATTTTTAAATAACGTGTTTTTAGAATTTCCATTAGGAAATCTGGCGTATTGGAGATAAAAATCTTTCCCCCCCTCCCATACAGTGTCTCCATTGCTCGCTTTGAAATCGTTGGATTTTTTAATAAAAAATCCTTTTACAAGTTTACAAAAATGAAATAATATAAACAAATTCGAATTCAAATTCGGGCTTCTAAGTGCTCATGTCGGGTTCAGGATCGTATTAAATTTGATGGACTAAGTAGCGTCGTTTTTTCACGATGCGAGAAACATACATACATTCATGCAGATTCTTCATTATTTAATTTCTTTAACTATAATACGGGCGGTAATACTTAGTGGTAACAATTAAAAGTGATTTGCGTTTATCGTGAAACTCCACAAAATCCCGTTTTGAGATTAAGAGCCCTTTGAGATAATAAACCAGGCTGCGTCTAGCATTGTAAGTATGATTTTACAAAGGCGGTAAGACTTATAGGATATTTTTTCCCCACATTTCCAGCATACCTTCGTGGTGTTACTGGAAGAACACTTAGCGCGTATTCAAGAGGTCCAGGTTCGTGTCCCGGCGAGACCATTTCTCATTTTTCATGTCTCCTGCTTCAAAAGAACCTAATGATTCTACAGTGGCACTCGAACTAAAAGGTAGCGAACAATAATTCGTCACCTCCAGGATTTGGCGACTGGATCCCCTAGTCCCCAGTCGCCCTTTAAAAAATGGGGGAATATATAAGGTGTTTTCTCCCTCCTTCCAGCATGCATTTGTGGTGTAACGGTAGCACTCGCGGCGCGCTTTCAAGAGGCTCAGGTTCGAGTCCCGGCGAGGACATTGCTCATTTTTCGTCTCTCCTGCTTCAAAATAACATAATGACTCTACAAACTTTAAGCAGGTCAGCTATATCTCAGCAGCGAAAGGGGAAGGAAGGGAATATAAGGCTTTCTTGTATAAGTGTAACAAACCTATCTTATTTGTAAAATGAGAATCATGTAAATAAGAACCGATTTTCCTTAAAAATCATCCATGAAGGCATTCCTTCCCTTACCCATGTAGCTCTCGTGTGCCGTGTCTTAATCTATTACTATACCAACCAAATGAGACTCTTGTTTGGAATATGATTCCGAAGCACTTAATGTCTATTAACTACGCCTGGCTAATCTGACTGACTCAGATATTGGACCCTTCTGATGAATGCAAGAAGGATTTCCCCTGAATATGCTTTATGATCTCGCTCGCTCTTTATACCTATTCTTCCATCCAGGCCGAAGTTTTAATAATACTGCATATTAGCAGTTTAGCTGTTGATTCTAGTTTCAATGTTTTCTATTAAAAATTTTTCTCCCATAAATTTGGATACCAAGTTGTTTTTCTCAGCTCTGTATGAGAGATATTCTTCCATAATACCGATACTTATCACAAATCTTGCTTTCTAATCTCATATAATTGAATAAGTCAAACTTTTCATGCTTGTTTATTAATTTGTCCAATAGTCATTAACAAAATAAAATAAAAATGCTTAATTTAAGTCTAAGGTTACGGAATTACTTTATAGATAACTTATCTTTCAAATCTTTATTAACTGTTCTAATTTAATTTGATGTTCTGTATTAATCATGGAGGAAAAATGTATGTTATGTAGCTTGTTTAGTTTCCTTCATTTAAATACATTTTTATCATATAATTATAAAAAAATATTTTATTTTCATATAGAGAAGGTACAAGGCGATGTGAGAGAATTCAGCTTAAAGCATCTTTTGTTTTTGCTTGGATTTGTGGTTGCCCCTTTAATCTGTTGGTGTTTTCTGTAAGTATTTAAATTAAGGAATTATATATTTTAAAAGCATAGATATGCTTTCTATTTAACGCATACTATCACCAAATTACATTAACAGTAATAATGAGATACATTCCGATGACATCAGAGATCATGTGACTTATG